ATACATGTTCAGTGAGTTAATAACACTGTGTAATAAATACTGTTATTATAACATGATTATCATATACAATACATGTTCAGTGTGTTAATAACACTGTATAATAAATACTGTTATTATAACATGTTTATTATATACAATACATGTTCAGTGAGTTAATAACACTGTGTAATAAATACTGTTATTATAACATGTTTATCATATACAATACATGTTCAGTGAGTTAATAACACTGTGTAATAAATACTGTTATTATAACATGATTATCATATACAATACATGTTCAGTGAGTTAATAACACTGTGTAATAAATACTGTTATTATAACATGATTATCATATACAATACATGTTCAGTGAGTTAATAACACTGTGTAATAAATACTGTTATTATAATATGTTTATTATATACAATACATGTTCAGTGAGTTAATAACACTGTGTAATAAATACTGTTATTATAACATGTTTATTATATACAATACATGTTCAGTGAGTTAATAACACTGTGTAATAAATACTGTTATTATAACATGTTTATTATATACAATACATGTTCAGTGAGTTAATAACACTGTATAATAAATACTGTTATTATAACATGATTATCATATACATGTTCAGTGAGTTAATAACACTGTGTAATAAATACTGTTATTATAACATGATTATCATATACAATACATGTTCAGTGTGTTAATAACACTGTATAATAAATACTGTTATTATAACATGATTATCATATACAATACATGTTCAGTGAGTTAATAACACTGTATAATAAATACTGTTATTATAACATGATTATCATATACAATACATGTTCAGTGAGTTAATAACACTGTGTAATAAATACTGTTATTATAACATGTTTATCATATACAATACATGTTCAATGAGTTAATAACACTGTGTAATAAATACTGTTATTATAACATGTTTATTATATACAATACATGTTCAGTGAGTTAATAACACTGTGTAATAAATACTGTTATTAGAACATGTTTATTATATACAATACATGTTCAGTGAGTTAATAACACTGAGTAATAAATATTGTTATTATAACATGTTTATCATATACAATACATGTTCAGTGGGTTAATAACACTGTGTAATAAATACTGTTATTATAATATGTTTATCATATACAATACATGTTCAGTGAGTTAATAACACTGTGTAATAAATACTTGTTTTTAACTAAAATACATATACTGTAAGAAACATTAATTCGTAAACAATTAAATAAGTTCCCACTATTTACACCAAGCTTTATTTTATTGGTTATAGTCTTTACAAGGCTTTGGTAATATTTTTGTACCATTTAATTTGATCTTACTTGGTGAAGTCAATGAATGCCATTTACTATCCTATAGTTCTTATATTTTCGCGGCATCATTATTTTTAGATTGGTGGAAGAAATCCCCAAATATTAAGCTCTTAACAGAACAAATTAATAAGATGCCCCCCCCCCCTCTTCTAAATTAAAAAAGAATATGTAAAATACAATATAAATGATATATATGTATATTAATTAAGCCAGTATTTCGACTGAAGTTTCAATCTGAATCTCTGTTATAGTATGTTTTATTTACATCAGGGATGGTTATCTCTAATACAATATTAGTTTAAACCCCAATACAGATTTTCTCATATTGTTTTATTCTAATAATTCAAAATCAGAAATCAGGCTTTATAAAAATCTATACAAGCAAAATTCCGTCAATCAAAAATCTCGTCCAAAGAATGGCAAAATCGGGAATAAAGGTAGTATAGTAGTAAACTCCTCTAAAGAGAAGTACCATCAGGTGTTTCGAAAAGAGTAAACATGGTCTGCTTCGTTCGACACCCGCCACTAAATCATGAGATACAACCGGATCAATTCCTGCTTGACCAAACAAATCAGCCAAAATACCAGAAACAGATTTATTGTATTTATCAAGGAGTTCTCTATAACGATCATAAAATTTCCTACATGAAGTTTGTGTGTCAAGTAACTTTGTTTCAGCAATTTCAAAGTTAATACTCGACCTCTAACTAGGAAATCATCATAAATAGAACAAGCTCTAGTATAGCAGATGAGTTGTGAAATGTTCACTCCATAAGCTGGTGATTGTGGTATGTTACTGAACATGAATGGAAAATGGAAAGATCGTGGTTGTTGAAAATTTCGAAAGTTAAATCCAAGTAGGACGCTTTTTAGTTTTATACAGATTTTAAAATGTAAATCAGGTATGGTTGTCTTAAATACAATTATCATTTTATCCCCCAATACATATTTTATAATTCATATTTATCTCAAATTGTTTGTTTTATTCAATAATCGTGAAATGAAAATGATTTTGAATCACGGTTTAAACCTGAATACGGGTTTTGACCTGGTCTTATTAACCAATATTAAACTAATCTCACTTCAATTTGTTTTGTGGGCGTGGAAATGAGATTGATGCTATTTAAATCTGACCAATCAGATCGGTAGAGGTCATGAGGTCACGTTAACAAAACACAACATGGCTTTACTGACGCCAGTTTGAAGAGATAAGAATACATTCTTTCCAAGTTAATATTCCAAAGTAAGTTTTGATTTTCTCTCGACTTCAATTCTATTACAAAAATCTTATTTAATTCTGTACCGTAAATATTCATCAAAATATTTAATGGCACTCTGTGTTCGTTTTGTTTACGTTCGCAAACAGAGCGTCATAACCAGTGATTTGTTTTGATTGATTTAAATTTGACAATTGGACAATATTTATCTATGAATATGTAATTTTTCTCACTTGTGATATCTCATTTAAATATTTACAATCTTTATACACCAAATAATCATTTAATCTGAATCTGAATCTGAATCTGAATCTGAATCTGAATCTGAATCTGAATCTGAATCTGAATATGAATCTGAATATGAATCTGAATATTTTAAACCTGCTTGTACCTCATTTAAATATTTACAATCTTTATACACCAAATAATCATTCTCATAATCATCATAATAAATATCATCAATATCTTGAAATAAATATTTTATAGATTTTAATACCAAATCATCATCATCATTCTCCTTATTTAAATCATAGGAATCATAATCATCATCATAATCATTATCAATAAAAGACTCTAACTGGCCAGGCAGTGAAAATCGTTCAGAATCAAAATCTTTAAACATCAGAAAATCAGTCAGGGTTGGAAAATAGAGAAGTTCTGAAATTCGATCATGAATTGTTAGACCTGTATTTTGTCTGATAACTCGTCTACAAATTTCTTTAAGGCTCAGATTGTTAGCGAAAAGATAGAATTTTTCTCTCGGTTTTTCTCTTAAAGTTTCTGGCAATGATACTTCATAATTTTCTTCTTCTTCAAAATGTAATATTTGTGTAATTTGTATAAATGAGCCACCACTTAAATACAGAATTTGCCTTAATTCATGCCTAGATTGTGAAGAAAATTCCTCCAGAGATAACTGACCATAGGAGATTTCTCCATCATCTGAGGTTAAAAGTTGAAGGTTGACATTTTTAAAAACAAGAAATTTGATGAAATTGACTGTTTGATCAATTTGCCATAATGATGAGAATATGAGTACATTTTGAATAATAGTGTTACCATTAAGACATGGCTGATTAAAAGATTGTTTACAACCATGAGATAGAAGTAAATTAAAACATGTTAAATCATAAACATTGTTTGTTAAATCTATGTACTGTAGAGCAGATCGACCATGGTTATCTACAATATTAACATCAGCTCCATGTATTAATAGTTTTTCTAACAATTTTCTATCATTTTTCATACAAGCCAACATTAAAACTGTTTTCCCGCCTTTATCTTGTATATTGACGTCTGCACCAAGATTGAGTAAAATATCAATACATTTAAGATATCTGGGGTAGTATTCAAAGGCACATAACTCTTTCACTACTGAATTGACTTTCATCATATTTAATTTTTCTTTTATCAAAGTAAATCCGATGACACTAAGGTGAAGTGCTGTATGACCCTGATTGTTTTGTCTATTGACGTCACAGGCTAAAGTAGCTACAAATTGAAAATTATTCAAAAGTGAGGCCACCATTAACGGTGAATTACCATCATTATTTATAAGATTAAAATCTAATTCATAATCAAACAAAAAACTAAAATCTATATATAAATAATCTATATAAAATTGAGCTAATAGATGGACTATATTTTCACCTGATGATGTTAAAGAATTGATATAGAGACCATTCTGAATAAAACACCATAGAGATTGAAAATCATTTTCACTCAGAATATATTTAACTAATTGAAGCTGATTATTAACATGATTAGTTAAAACATCAACATTATGTTGGATTAAAACTTGAACTAATTCTAGATCCTGACGTTGTGCTATTTTATAAAGAAATTGTAATCCTCTCGTAGTGGAGAATGGTGAATACCCGTACTTATCTTTAATATAAATATCACAGTTACTATTCTCTATTAAATACTTTACAATGTCTTCATGATTCATGATTACCGCACTATGTAATGGTGTAGAACTTCTACCGTCCTGTAAGTTTACATTACAGTCACTATTGTCTATTAAACACTTTACAATGTCTTCATGATTCCAGAATACCGCAATATGTAATGGCGTATAACCTCTATAGTCCTGTAAGTTAACATTACAGTTACTATTCTCTATTAAACACTTTACAATGTCTGCATGATTCCCGACTACCGCAATATGTAATGGTGTAGAACCTTCAATGTCCTGTAAGTTAACATTACAGTTTCTATTCTCTATTAAATACTTTACAATGTCTTCATGATACAAGACTACCGCTCTATGTAATGGTGTATAACCTCCACTGTCCTGTAAGTTAACATTACAGTTTCTATTCTCTATTAAATACTTTACAATGTCTTCATGATTCCTGACTACCGCAATATGTAATGGTGAATAACCTTCACTGTCCTGTAAGTTAACATTACAGTTACTATTCTCTATTAAATACTTTACAATGTCGACATGATTCCTGATTACCGCTCTATTTAATAGTATAGAACCTAGACCGTCCTGTAGTTTAACATCGTAACTGCCACTCTGTATCAAACTATTTACAGTCAATAGATCATTGTTCCATACGGCATCAAATAAAGCTCTTCTAGTTGACATTTTTAAATCAATCTGTAATAAATAAAACAGTAATTATTTTATCATGTAATTATAAGATCTTGTCTAAAACAAACTCAAATATTGATTTTTGATTGAGAGTGAAGCTTAGCGGAGATGAACGGACGTATGTAGTGAGCTGTGACCCCGTGTTTTACATCAAATACTCTGACAGGCCTCAATAAGATTCAAACAACAATTCTCTTGAAAAATATCGAAGAATTCAAAAAACTTTTTAACTTATCAAACAAAAGATAGATGTATTGCTTATTTGGAAGAAAAAAAACAGAGTCACGTGTCACAAATACAAAGTCACTTTACTTGGAGTCTAGAAGCAGACGTTATAATATTCTCTATGGATTTGAAAAGGTAAACAATGAAAATGTTGAAAAGATTGTTAAAGATTATTTACTCAATGAACTAAAACTATCAAAAACATTTATAGACTCAATAATTGTGTGAATACCTAAAAATCTAAACTCGAAAAATCAGGAGCAATCCTTGTGAAGTTTTCTCGCCTCTCAGATAGAAATCAGATTCTATTAAGTAGCTATGTTCATACCCTTCCCCGGGGTAAATCAATAAGGACAGACCTTCCAGCTATGATAAAAAAGGAATTTTAGCAGAAAAAGCATTGCGCAGTAGAGATAGGATTTATACAAGAATTATAGAAAAGTATAATAGGGTGTGGTTAGAAACTCGTGAAAATAAAGATAATCCATGGAAAACCTCCAGTAAAACATAACTAACAATTTCCTTAATTTTAAAAATTGGTACAATTTTAGTACAGTCAAGTGAACAATTATTATATTTCTACTTTGTGTGACAACCAAACTTTAATATGCAGTGCAGCATTAGTATATTTCAGGCATTCTCACTAATTATACAATGTTTATCTTTCATTAGAACTTTGATCTCACAATATATAACTGTGCCATGATAAACTGTGCTTGATGAATTCTCTTACTACCAACCCGAGGTTCAGTGAGGATATAACTCTCATACAACCAGGTAACAATAACTTCCAAGTTGACATTACTTATATTTGCTTGAATTAGATTATTTAGATGGAAGCTCAAACTTGTAGAATTTTGTAAACTTTATTATTAAATGTCATGCTATACACTGCTCGATATAAACATAGTAAAATACCTGCATGAATTAGACTGTGAACTCAAGAATCTAGCTTTGAAACTCTTTTAGTCTTCTCCAAATGATAGATGTGAAACACGGGGTCATCTATCTATTTTATTACTAATTTTAATGTCTACATTGCTCATATTTTTATTGGTATATTTTTTCAGTATGTGTGAGTGTGTGAAACAACATATCATTTCAGGTTTTTTAGTTCATCTTCATCCAGGTAATGTTAACACACTTCTTTTTCTCAAAGAAAACTTAATGCAATGTTATCTAATCTATATGAAGTAGAAAAGATGAGTATGTTAAGAATTATATCTGTCAACTGTAGAGGTCTGAGAGACAGTAGTAAAAGAAAGGATGTTTTCAATATGTTACAAAATAAGGAGGTAAATATTTGTTGCATTCAAGACACTCATTTCACAAATGGAATCCATAATCTTTTGAGATCAGAATGGTGATTTGAGATATATTTTAGCTTTGGGACAAATAACTCTAGAGGAGTTTCACTTTTAATGAAGAACAATTTGAATTTGAAGTTTTAAATGAAAGAAGGGATTTTAATGGAAACATGATAGCTCTTAACTTACAAATAGCCAAAAAAATACTTTCTTGCTTATAAATCTATTTGATCCAAATCAAGATGAACCAAACTTCTTTTCTAATATAAATGATATTATTACAAGTTTAGAAGACGATTATACTATAATATATAATATTTCAGTGTAATCATCATTAATATTAGGCTAAGCCTATTATAGGCCTACTTCTCCTTTGGTATATATAGAGACTGGAACCTAATCCAGGACTCTGAACTAGATTCCTGCAATTATAAGCATATTAATAATTCAAAAGCCAATAAACACTGTTCTAGTGTGGCTACCATTTCAGTATAGTCATCATTAATATTAGGCTAAGTCTATTATAGGCCTACTTCTCCTTTGGTCTAGAAAGAATTTGTGGTCTGATTCTGATGTAACTTTTATGTTTGGTTAAGAAAGGCTACTTCCTGTTTAGTTTTGTCTATTTCCTCTAAAAGTACATGGATGCTGAGTTCAAAGTTCGTTTGAGAGCTGATTATTATAAGCAGGAAGGAGCAAACATTTTAGCTTACAGCAGAATACAAATTAAATATCGAATGTAACTGTAGATATTAGTATAATGCTGACTTTTATTTTGTGAAACTGCCGTGTTGAATATCACCCTACCATTCTAAGATATACTTGGTCAAGACAAAATCCAATCAAAAAGGCCAGATTGGACTTCTTTCTAGTTTCTGACAAATAATTGAGCTTTGTAGATAAGATAAAAGTAACTTCAGGAAATAGAACAGACCATTCCTGTGTCGAATTGACTCTTAAACTAAGTGATTTTTATACGCCCACATGAAATGTCACCCAATTCCGTCCGTCCATCGGTCCATCCACAATTGCTCGTAAAAACACTTTGACAAAACTTGGTGTGAGTGTTCGTAATCACCCAAGAATGCACCCTAGTGAAAATCAAAAAAATCGAAAAATATTTAGTATGAGTTATTGCCCTTGTTCTGAAAAACATGAAACATATTTGAAAGCTTTCAACAAGATTTCTTGAAAAAGTTGTAGATGGTTGAATTTCGTGTTTTAACATGGGAAGAGATGGTAAATGAATTAGTGGAGTGAGTCCTTATAGCCCAGTTGAATAACTTTTGATATTAACTGACATTCCTATATACATCATAAAGTTATACATTCATATTCCACAGGTTAATTTG